CTACTACCTACTACCTACTACCTACTACCTACTACCTACTACCCACTACCCACTACCTACTACCTACTACCTACTACCTACTACCTACTACCTACTACCCACTACTACTACTACTACGACGACGACTACTACTACTACTTCTACTACTACTACTACTACCACCTACTACCTACTACCTACTACCTACTACCCACTACCCACTACCTACTACCTACTACCTACTATCTACTTACTACCTACTACCTACTACCTCATACCTACCTTCTACCTATTACTTTCTGCCTACTACGTACTACCTGCTGCCTGCTGCTTGCTCCTTGCTGCTTACTGCTCGCTACGCACTGCTTACTACTTACTACACACCACCCACTACTTACTACTTACTACTCGTACAGTCGTCATTTGCAAGATCACCTACCAGAGCACTTTTACATTTAGACGATACTTCCAAAAAAACATATGGATTGAAAAAACGATACCAATCCCTAAAACGATACCTGCCTTAAAACTTCCCACCAAACGACCCCTAGTTAGGGTTGCACATATACACATAAGTCAATCCACAAGTTGGATATATCAATATTGGACGTAAACAGTGGATGTTTTTCTCCACCTGCCAGGTCAGGGTTGTTAGATTGTATCAGAGCTCTTCTCCTACTCGTCTTCTCCTCCTCGGCCTCCTCCTCGCCAGCAAGTTAGAGCGAGTGGCATATCGCAGTGGGCACTACCGGACCCCAACAGCAAGCACCAGATTGCAGTGGGCACTACAGGACCTCATCAGCAAGTGCCAGATCGCAGTTGGCACTCCACCGCCACCTCCCGATTGCAGTGGACACTGGCGGTTGAGGAACGCGGGAGTCACTCCCACCATGACATGAAATCAAATGATTGACATGTCATGGTGGGGAGCACTCGAAGTAAAGTAATCTTTACAAGGTGACAACCTTGCCATGCTTGTGACATATACAGTGGCTTTAGGACCACTTAACACCCAGCTTTGCCTACATTTGTCTCGAGCCTTGTGTCAAGAGCCTATGACCAGGCTTCATGTTGTTTATGCAGCATACCCTTTTGTCAGTTCTCCCCTCGCTTGTAAATCCACCCTAAATCCATTGAGATGAGGATGTAATGAGGGTCTCAATGAATTCCAAAGGAAGCGCCAAGGCCGCCGTCATAGTGTAAAAAACAAAGTGGTTCTTTGAGTATTGGATAAGGTCCTTGCAAAAAAACGGCCATGGACAGATCGGGAGTAGACCAAGGGCTCATACATTTATGCAAAAACAATATACTGGAGGGCATCACGTCCGACTGTGGAGTTAAGCCCAAAACTTCTGAATGTTCATCGCAAGATAAAACATGTCCTGTCCCTCGCGAGTGGCGGTGGTCAGTTTCTTAGGGGATTTGCGTGGATCCCGCTCCCTAGACTCTATGCATCCGTTTCCGAAGACTATGTGTTCCCTCACTTCGGGGCATTTTCTTGTTCGGGTCTCAGGCTCAAGTTGCGGAATGGGGGAGTTTTGTTTCTTGCCACAGGAAGGCAACGATCGGTAGAAGTAAAACCTGCGAAGCTTCCTGTGGGCCTGATCGTTTTCCCATGTTTTCTAAAATCCTTGGAGGTTGACCTCTTGGCAAAGGTGGCCCCCAAACCCAAACCCTATGTATTGACTCTCCGTAAAGGCATACTCAGACCCTTTAGAAGGAATTTCATACAAATCAGATTAAACCCTTACTAACCAGACTGGACAAACAAGTTATGTGGTTTCAGATCATCCGGGTCATTGACCGTCCACATGGGTCAGCGCCTCCAAACTCGCGTCCCTCGGCGCTCGTGAACGAGGAGCTACCCCAACCGGAGTTCAGTGGAGCACTGACTGCAGACTGCTGTCAATAGCGAAGGCCTTCCAACAGATCCCTTACATTCCCTTACCGTATATGGTACGGTGGGTACAGCGGTTTTCGGGAATTCAACAACTTAGCCGGTGCGATTCGGAGGGAGCTGTGGCGCTCTGGTCTTCAGGGGTCTCTATCTTCCGTCCACGAAATAGCAAAGCCGGGATCCGCTTCCTACTAGAGACAAGAACATTGTGGAAAGTTCGGATCACTATTGATTGTTCACGCTTCATGCAGGAAAAGAGGATCTTGCCACGAAATGCCTACGCCTTAGCCTACTTCTAGCCGCATTCTAGCCTACTCTCCCTTGATCATGATGTTTGTCCAACTCAAGACTGAGATCATCCAGGAACCACATGAACCGCGGCCCTACACATGAGCATCGTTCCCGCCGTTGCCGGAGCTCCACGGCCAGGGCACATCGATCCGAGCATCGGAGGTGTCCAGTGCGAGAGCAGAGGTGTCCAGTGTCCAGGCGGGGCGTTGGAGGTCAAACGTATGCAAGCAACCTCAGGGTGAAAACATATTGTGTATATATATATATAGAACACAATGCAACAAGCAAGACACACAAACTCCGCAGGCGCTCCGAGCCTGGGGCATTGTGTCACTCGGAGAAGTCGTCTGGAAGTCTGCGCGGGCGGGTGAAATCGCCCTACCACCTGCCCCGATGCATCCAGAGGTGACCTAACCCCAGACAAGCACAGCGCCAGGCTTTTCATTTCTCCATATGCACATCTGATCGCCACAGGCGCCCTCCAAGCACCCCGAAGCGGTGCCGCTGGTCCCGGCGCCGCCGGTCCCAGCGCCGACCGCAGAGCAACGCGCGGGTGCCGGGCGCAAGGAGCCGCGCGCGGAACCGCGCGCGGAGCCGCGGAGCGACGTATTGACGGTGGCCTTGGCTGCGGAGATGAAGCAACTCGATGGCGTCCTGGCCACTTGGCATAGTTCTTGTGTTTGGACTCCTGGCAGGTTGATGTCCGGGTTCCATGAGAATGCAAGACAGTGGTCAGGCTTCTCCTAGCCCGTGGATCAAATGGTGAGGGATCTCTTTTGGTGTATTATTTCTATTGCAATCCACCCGATGAATGGCAGCTTGATTTGATTTGCCATGAGGGCCGATTTGATTTGCCATGAGGGCCGAGCAACGTGCTGTTAGAAAATGAACAATGCGCACCTGCTGCAGCACCAGGTTGCTTCTGGGCAAAAAAAAAACATTATATATAATACTATATGTGTATATATATATATTTATTTATACACCGTTTGGACGCACGTGAAGGCCTGCATTCCTGCATGACTACTGTAGAGGTATATTTCATCTCATTATCTCACGCAAAGCTCGACCAGATCTTTCGAAGTTGCCGGACTGGGCGTTGCGGGCAGCTGCCTTCAGTCATGAGGGTTCACCCAATAATCTGGAAGGGGAAAACCGGTTTGTAGAGAAAAATGGTCGGCTCATGTCATCCACTTTCATGATAATTCCAGGGGGTGTATATCATGAATTAAATATCACACCTGCGCTGTTGATAGGGCAGAGTCGACGAGCTATTTTCAGTGTGTCAGTGGAACAAGTCGACTGGTCTCCAGCTAAGACGAGCAAAGAGATAATGCCACAGGCACGTGGAATGATAGCATTCCTTGCCAGACCAGATTTCCTCGCAAGCCGTGGATCGCGTGACACTTGAAGTTGGAGTTATGACCAGGAACGGCATCTAATCCCGAGTACCTATTAAAGATGATTAAAGTCGTGTCGGAAACCCCTAAATACGGTTTATATTTGTTTTTAAATTGCCGCCCTTTCAAACCGCTACTAAACTACCAGCATGGCCGATTTTGGAGGAGTTGTTTAAATTAGGTTCTAAAAACAACCGTGACTGCCCACCTCTGTCCACCCTGTCTATCCACCATGACACGCCGTGTTTACACCAGCAGGCATTCCTTCCCCCAATGGCACAGACTCACACAAACGCACTTTCCACCGAGGTCACACAAAACAGCATGGCACAGCGACATCACCTTTCGAAAGTTTTTTATAGCTGTTAGTCTAACGAAGAATCACCATTCTAATAAAGGCTTTTGTAGGGAAAAGGAAGACCCTTCGATCTTCGATCTGGAGGTTTTTTGAACTTTTGGTACGAGTTTAATAGAGGATTTATATAAAAAAATTCATGGGTTACTTTTGGCTTTGAAGCCCTTCCCAGGTGATCCTATTTTGGACCACCCCGATTTCAAGGAGGATTTGGAAATTAGTGACTAGTGTGATTTGGGGATGAGACTGCTTAACGCGGTGAAGAAGGAGGCCGGCATCTGCAAGATGCGACGCCTCAATTCGTAAGGGTCAGGAAGAGTCCAGATTAATGTTGGATCTTAATTAGCAAAGCGGCCCCCCTAGCAAACAATCGCGGGAGCATAAATAGAATCCCCGCCACAAAAACCATTAGTAGTAGCAGTAGCGTTAGCAGTAGCAGGAGTAGGAGCAGCAGCAGCAGGAGCAGTAGTCGTAGTAGTAGTAGTAGCAGTAGTAGTATAGTAGTAGTAGTAGTAGTAGTAGTAGTAGTAGTAGTAGTAGTAGTAGTAGTAGT